ATTAGAGGCGGGACCACGCCCACTTTTTAAAAAAAAATTTTAACTGCAGATGCCCCTCCCTAATGTGATCCTGTGTACCAAATAACAGTCTTGTATCTTATTGCGGAGCTTAGTTATGGCAAGTTATTTGTTTTTGATTAATGGCGTTTTGTGGGCGTGGCAGTGGTCCGATTACGCCCATCTGCAATACCAACCGTCTCACGGTACCATGAAACATGTCTACCAAGTTTCATAAAGATATCTCAATTTTTACTCAAGTTAGAGCTTGCACGGACGGACGGACAGACGGACAGACGGACGGACGGACAGACAGTCACCCGGATTTCAACTCGTCTCTTCATCCTGATCATTTATATATATATAACCCTATATCTAACTCGATTAGTTTTAGGTGATACAAACAACCGTTAGGTGAACAAAACTATTATACTCTGTAGCAACAGGTTGCGAGAGTATAAAAAAGAGAGACTAGTTAGCTTATATACAGGCGGAGGATGCTTAAATCGACTCAACTCGTCACGCTGATCATTTATATATGTATATGTACATACCAAACATACCATATATATTTATGTGCTCGCCAACATTTCCTTCTGTGTGTAACAAACTTCGTGGCTAACCTTATATACCCTCTAGTGTTCAAGGTATAATTAAAAATACATACTTAAACAAACAAGCATGTGTGAACTCATCCTAAATAACCACTCGTACTAACTGCGCGAAATCGATAATAATAGCGTTCGATAACTTCTGTTTATTTTAAACCTGTATTTATATTTTAAGAACATAAATATTTCTTCGTCGGTTATACTGTTTACAATAAAATAAATACATTTAAATCGGTTGTACATTTAATTGCTCAATTAATAGTCCTGCCATCTATCTTAAAATATATTGTAATACATTTTCGGTCATCACATGTTATTTCTCACCGAATATTCCTCAAAGCATTTACTATCGGCAATTCTATAAATTTGTCCCCAATGAGCTAAATACTTAAAAATTTCCGATGTTTCTGGTGCAGGCTATGTTTATGAGCGCATGTTTTAAATAGCTAAATTAATTAAAATTCTTGAAACAATTTGTGTTGATTACCAAAAACAAAAGAAATATTTTTGCGTTCGAGCAAAGGTATGTGAGTTTTAAAAGATGCACCAATAGCAAGCAACATAGTAAGCAACCAACTTTTCATACCATCAATGTTTCTGCCGCTTCAAAATGCGCTGAAGCGTGCCTTTTACATGGGACATGTTTTCCACTATCAACAACAAAATTACTTGAAGTTGTTGTGTACGTGGATGCGGCGACGTCTTTGTTGTCAACAATATCGCTTGGACACTGATTGCTCTTGCTATTGTTCGCATTGCCAAAAGAGGCGGGTGGAGAGTGTAGAGCGGCGTGCAAGCAAGATTGGTTGAAAACAAAGTCGAAAGAAATCATTCGCCAACAATCTAAAAGCGCCGGCGACTCGCTAATGAATTGTTGTTGAAAGGGGTATGTACGGAGGTGTGAGGTGCCAAAATAAAACGAAAATAAAATCGGAGCTATCTCTACAGCCTGGTGTGATTTGCACGCACTCACGCATCTGGTTATTTTAAAGACATTTCCAAGTGTATGCCTGCCTGGCGTTACATTCCAATGCATTGAATTTATTTGCGCACACACATACTTACTACGTATTCATTGTGTTTATATGTACGCATATATGTATAATTGTGCCTACATTAATGGCCCCTAACCGGGCCAGTTTACGAGAGCGACGCAAAGTGCACATATACACACACACACACACATAGCCGTGAAACTGAAATGTGAATGTGCGCAAGCAACGATGACGATGACGTTGGAGTTGGAAGTTGGCAGCGCGGACGCTGACTCTGACGTTAACCTGAACGAACCAACACATTCGCTGATTTAATGCTGTAAGATTGCTGTTTTTAATTTGATTTTTTTTGTTACTTTATTAATATTGCTGCTCTTTGGGTGTAGCGACCAAAACAAAAGTGCAATAATTTTTCGGCCTTGAGATGACTTGGCTTTTAATAACTAACCAAAGCGCTGACGAATGAACAAATGGAAAATTTAAAGTAATAAACATGGATCTAAATGTATACATACATATATATGTATGTACTATGCTATGCATATGTATATTTTCAGCTGCTGACAACGGGGCAACTGGATGTAAAGATTAATGAATAGTTGGTGTAAAAGCTTGTACTTTGATTGGTCTGTCGTTGTGCATGGTATGAAAACCAGGCTTTTGTTGTGTATGTAGGGTGTGAAGATGCCTGTCTGACGTAAGCTATGTGTGTGTGCGGTTTTCCTAGTAGTTTTCCTTTTTATAAATACACAAATTAAACATTTTTTATTAACAGTTAATTATGTTCAACTGAAATGCGCTATATAGACTGTTAAATAATAAAAAATTGTAAAATTTCTGTACGTAGGAATTATCGTGAGATTTTTCGTGATTTTTTTTTTTTTAATATTCATTTTCTTAGAACGTTATTCATTTAAAGCCTTGAATATAATTTCGGTCACATGTGTGTAATTCTATAAGTAAATATTTCAATATTTTGTTCTGTAACTTATATCTAAATAATTGAATATAAAACAATAAGTTAGAAACTCCTCGGTGATCTGATCTGATGAACAAAATTTATGTTTTTGTATGGAAAACTATTTTATTTGTAAATTGTATTCTAGTTTCGGTGCAACCTTCTTATGATAGCTTTTTGACGTTTCTTTAACTTTATTATTATTTGCATTACATCTGCTTATCTAATGAATGTGCAATATGTTATCAGTTGATTGATAAATTTACACATTTGCAGTAGCGTATTTCGGGTTTTTTCCAATAGAGATTATGTGATTTCTAAGTGTCGCTTCGGCCATTTTCAATATTTTATGATCTGTAATTTTTTTTCCATTGTATTCAGTAATGTTTACAATTTCATCATGGAAAGATATACGCAAGAACAACGTTTATATATTAATTAATTTTATTATCAAAATAATGGTTCTTTTAATCATCTTCTCCGTGGTGCAGTAAATAAACAAAACTGGATTCTGGTGCGAAGACCCAGAAAATCGACAAATTATTCATGAACAACCATTACATTCACCTAAATTGAGTTTGGTGGGATTTTTGATCTGGTGTAATCATCGGTTCGTACTTCTTTCAAAATGAAGCTGGTGACACCGTTACTGTCAATGGAGAACGGTATAGATCAATGATAACCAACTTTTTGTGGCCGCAATTGAAAATAAAAAAAAGTCATTTGGTTCCAACAAGACGTGGCTACATGCCACACAGCACGTGCAACAACCAAATTATTGCGAGAAAAGTTTGAAGATTCTATAATTTTAAGAAATTGTGACATTTAATGGCCTCCAAGAAGTTGTGATTTAACACCATTAGACTATTTCGAATTCGTTCCTGCAAAAAAAGTTGTAGAGGTTATTATATTCAGAACTTAATTGTATCGATTGTACTTCACACTAAATAACAAGCATTTGAATTTTCTTAACAATTCGGGTTTTATTTTAAATCATACCACTCTTATTGGAAAACCCATTATATATTCATAGTTTCAATAAAATCCATACTGACTTTATACCATAAGCGAATTTATATTAAAAAAAACCATTGTTATTGGACTTTTTGCATACAAAATCAAGTACATAGCATGTGCATTAGGGTGGCAGTTATTTCCCAAAGTTGGTTTTCTTTTGTTGACACTTTTGTAGATCGCAAAATTTTCTATCAGCATATCCTTTTTCAGAGTTGTAGGCATATTTGATTAATGTGAATGAGCAAAAAATCCCATGTTATATATGTATGTATGTACATGTAGAAAATCATCATTATTTAGACACGGTTTAAACTAAAAATAAAGAGCTTGTTATTAATGTTGGGGGCAAAAACTTTTTCAGCAAAAAAGTGAACTTGGTTAAATAATGAACAGCCTAATGTACATTCATATGTATTCGTACATGAGTAATATCCATGCAACAGTCATTTGCTTCAACAATTTCACAAATATTTATAGCGGTTATTTAATTGTTATTTATAAACATTTATTTCTTTAACATTAGTGCATAAATCATAAAAGAAAATTTTTACAATCAAGACACCAGCAAAAAAGAAATGTTCCTACATACTTGTATATGCTCCAAAACCAACATTTAAGTATGTACATATACTATGTATAGGGATATGTATGCACATATGTATGTATATATGTACATATATTACTACTATTACATTTATGTATTTTATTTCTGTAAACTGGTTCTTTTTTGCAAAATTTCGATGTGGTTTTATTGTTATTGCAATATTGCATTACACTTCCATTACAAAAGTCTTTTTATACATTTAACTGTTTGTTGGTGGTTTTTTGTTGTGATTTTTCCATTCACTATTTTTTATTACTGCTTGCTATGTTATGGTTATATTCGGTTAGCCGTGTGCTTGTAATATTTGAGGTGTGTTTTTACGGTGCTGCCTTTCGATGTTGCATAATTTATTCCACACCAGGAAACCTGTCGTCGCGCCGAAAATGCACTCAGATTTTTTTCGACTAAATTACCATTCATTTATTGCAGCAATAAGTAGTTTCGGTTGTTTCTTAGTTGGCGTTATACATATGTATGATTATATATACATACATATGTATATGTATGTAGAGATTTGTGTGCGCTTAAAAAAAGCTTTGATTGGTAATATAAATTTACAAGAAATCCCGATGAGACAATTAACTTGATTCTATATAAGTGATTAATTTTCATGGTTGGATATTTCCAAATAATTTTGGTAATGCTGCGAATTACTAGACCTCAGCTGGTTTAAAATCAGTATACGTTTCCGATTACTTAGAAGAAATGTAGCAATTTCACTTTAAATTAATCGTAAAAACAATTTAGAAATGAAATCACTTTTCTAATCTTTTACAAACTTGTTTTTAATAAATTATATTTATTATATTTTTTTCCAGTAAGCTCCGGTGTGCCTCATACAGTTTATAAGGGAAACCATAGAAAATACACAAAAGAATGTTTGTTGATTTACGATCGAAAAACCGGTGGTATTACATTCGAGAAGTTAAATCATAATATTCAAGTAAAAAAGACGAGGTAAGTTTGAAAAGCAACAAAATCAATTACATTTTTAAATCAAAAAAAAAAAACAACATTAAATCCATTAAATAAAATTGTTGAAAATTATATTTTTATTTAGTTTTGTTGGGAAATGTTAAAAAATGAAAACTATTTAATTTTAATAAAAATGTTCTAATAAAAAATTATATAATTAAATTTTTGAATTCTATTAATAAGACATTCGATTAGCGCCTAATAGAATTGGAATGGGATATGAATAAATCTGAGATTCATTCATCTGAAAATGAATGAGGAAAAATTAAAAATTCTAAAATTTTTTGAGTGGTTCAACTAGTGGTGACTATTATTTATTTGTAATAAAATAAAAAATTTTGGATTTGAAATTAAATTTTAAAATTAAAGTCTTATCCCAAAATTATAATTAAAAATTGTTAAAATAAAAATTGTTTGATTGTGAAAATATACCTACCAATGCTCTGGAATGCTAGTATTGAAGATGCTTGCTTTGTGCAAGCTCTGCCTCAAAATGGTTGAACACGAAGTGGCCAATGCGAACAAATGTTAATTTTAAAATTAAGTTAAGTAAAGTTTTTATTTTTGTATTACATGGTTGGGATAATTTATTTTTTATTTTTCAATCCATATTTGGGATTAAAAATTAACAATAATTAAAAATACATTTTTATTAGGTTTTTGAGATTACAATTTTATTTTAATCTGGTATTTGAGATTAAAAATTTAAAATAATTTTCAATTAAGATTTGCGAAATTACAAATCCAAAAAAGTTTAAATTCAAATGTAAATTTAATTATTTTTTAATGCATTTAAGTTTAAATCTATATATATATATATATATTATAATTATTTTAACTATTAATCTTACTATTTTATTCGACCTATAAGTAAAAAAATATTTTTAATTTATTTATTGAAATTATCCGCTTGTTTGACTATCTAGATCCATACGGATTGTGCGTTGACACTAATAAATAGAGCTAATTTGGGTATTCGGTTAATGTTGTATTACTTTGATTCTAGTATTTATTTAAATATGTCAGATGTTATTTATCAAATTTATTTGATTTAATTCTAAGGAAAATGAAACAATCGGTTTATTCGGATTTCTTTTAAATAAAAGAGTATGCTATTAAGATAAGTTTTAAAAGTGTAATAAATATTTATTTATAGTATATTAATACCTATTATTTACCATATATACAAATTTGTATACACTCATCAGTCTTTAATTTTTAGTAAAAAAAATTTCCTTTAACTTTTTTCCAGGAGTGAGATGACAAACAAACCAAGTGCGATAGCTGCTAGCGCAAATGTAGCACCGCAGCAAAAACTAGAGAATAGTACGATGCGCATCACATCGAAAACGAAAGTGTCGACAGGGAGTCGTCGAAATAATATAAGTAAGTTCAACCAAATCATTCCTATTTATCAAAGTCGTATAAAAATACCCAGATATATTTATAACTTTGTGCTCTACCTCATTTTTGCAGTTGATTTTAAGCCAAGAAACTCGCCATCCGCATCTGCATCCCCGTCTGCACCGCCATCCATACACAAAAGTCCACAATCAGCGCCGGCGTAAGTCTTACACAATATGCACATATAATTGTTGTGTAATTTATTTGATTAATATGTTATTTATATATTTCTTTATTTCCACAGCTGGAACGCGAATAATACGCAAGCCACGCTGCCCAGCATTCCAATGATCTTCGATGACGACGATGATGGCATGTTTGGACTGACCGCCGCCGCCGCCGCAGGCAATAGTCAAACGCATGGTGGCAGTGGCAGTGATGCGGCAAATATGTCTTCATCGTCCTCCGCATCGAGTCATAACAATTCAGCGCACGATTATCACATGCAAATGCAGCAGCACCAGCTACAGCAGCAGCAACAGCAACAGCTGCAGCAGCAGCAGCAGCAACAGCAACCGGCGCCGACCAAACAGTCAAAGCAATCGCATCGTAACAATCAAAAACGGCAAAACAATTTGAACGCAGCGACGGCGACGTCGTCCACAAATGCGGCGGCAATAGCACAGAGTCATGGCAAACAGACGAAGCACAACCGTATAGAGCAACGAAGTATGTTTAGTGCATTTTATAAAATTTTAATGTTTTCATAATTAAGTTTTTGTTTCTCTTAACTTTTCCAAATATTGAACTAATTTTTTTTTCTATCTTTTATAATTATATAAATTTAATTTTTGCTTTAGCTTCCTCGCCACAAACCTTTGCACAACAGCAGCAAAGGCAGCAACAGCACAATCTCTACCAACAACAGCAGCAATCCAACAACAATCGCATGTATCCGACGAACTCATCGTCCTCAATGCAAATGTCTAACGGTGTCGCTGGTGGCTATCACAATAGCAACAATATGTCCATGGGAAATCAAGTGTTGCAACATCATCAGACGCAACAACAACACCACAATATGCCAGGCATGTCATCGCCGCATGACAGCGACGCAGCTATGGCTAATGCGGCCGCGCAGCTCGAACAGGTAACTTGTTGTTTTTCGCCATTATACGCAATCATTTACAGATATCTATATGAAATTATTAAGAACTGCAACATTTTCTTTTTCCAGCAAATACGCGGTCTTAGCTCATCTAGTTCGAGTTCCAGCTCGGATTCGAGCGACAGTGATTGTGGCAGCGACTCCGACGACAGCAGTGATGAAGAGGATGACGCTGGCAGTCATCATCCTCAACATCAACAACAACAACAACAAACGCAACATCAAATGCATCAGTTGCCGAATTTGATGTCAGCGCTGCCACCAATGTCAACTGCTGCGCAATACAATCGCAATACGCCTTCGTCTGGCTATGCGTCTAATAATAGCCACACCAACAATAATGGTGCATTTACGAGTGATTTGCTGCAAAACGATCTGCAATTATCATCGAACTCTTCCGATGAAGATGATTAGTAGAATATATTTATATAGAATTACACACGCGCTACATTAAAAAAAAACTATATGAAACAATATAAAAACAACTAAAACATACGATTACATGCACATAGGAATATTTGTTTGCTATATATACAATTTTTGATTTTTTTTTTTTTTTTTTGTTAATTCTTGGATATATTGTGCGTATGTATATTATGCGTATTCCTTCGCTATATACTTTATGTAACTAATTTTGTTTAGGAGTTTCTTTTTTAAATTAATAATAATATGTATATTTATAAAGACATCGCTTGCAAAACTGAGCATACATACTCTTTAATATTGTATATGAAATTAAAATGCTGAATTTATTTGCAATTGTAATATAAACAACAGTAAAAAAACGCAGTGTGAACGAAGCTAGAGTGGAAAGGAGTGAGGAAGTTAATTTAATACTAGTAAAATTTAAAAGCAAAACTTAGCAAAGCAACACTGCACACTAAATGCATGTATGTACGAAATCTAGGTCTATAAAGAGCAAACAAATTCCAAGTGAGGCACAAAACGGTAAAAGCGAATTTTTGTAGAAAGTAGTGCTTAAAGTGAATAGCATTAATGAATTGAAAATAAACTAGTGTAGTTGCAAATAACAACAACAACATAGTAAAATAATATAAACAATGCCAATTTGTATATAAAACTAAATGATATTTTCGGTCATTTAATTTTATACCAAATAAGTTTAGTTCCACAAAAAAATTTTTGTGAGCCATGTGAATCATTCAAATAGTAAAGTTTATGCGCATAAGTCCAAAATAGTTAAAAAATAACAGAAATTTTACAGCAAATATGCAATCAGCAACTGTGCAGGATAAAGAGGATTATAAATACAAAAACACAACTAAAACTAGTTTACTTAATTTAGTGGCATATAAATGCAAAAATCTAAAAACATGAAATATAACGAAAAAACGAATGTTAGAGAGATTTTGCAAAGCGACGCAATTTATTAGTGTTTTTGCTTATGGGCGCTCTAAATTATTGCTGCAACATTATTTTCATTTTGCAATTGTGTATCAGCTGCTGCATGCATATGTTTGCTATACATCTGTGGCAAAATTTAAAAAAAAGTTAAAGTCGACTTCAGTGCGGTTAGTTATTTTGCTTTCTAGTAAAACTCGGCGCCTATTTTTTTTAAATATATTTTATAGTAAATTGAAGCCGATTCTAAAATATAATATTCTCTACTCTGGCGAGTATAATTAAAACTTCCCTTACCAACCTAAGTCGACTTAAGCAACTTTAACATAGTGCAAAAGCTAGGCATATTATAAAGTATTTTCAAATTTTCAATAATTAACTTTATACAAGTTTAGTTCTTAACAACTATTATTTCATTGAGAATAACATAAAAAATTGTTTTAAAAATTATTCACACTTTTAAGCAATATAAATATGACCGTTTTTCATTTTTAGCATAAAGAAATAGCTTACGAACTGTGAAATTTCTTATAATTATTTAATTTTCAGACTTTTTCCAATTACCGTTTTCCTAATTGAAATATTGTAGTTTGGAAATTTTATTATAGTATAAATCTACATAACAAGCGCGAAAAGTACAGCAACTTTTTTGTATATATTATAATTTTTTTAATTATTTGCGAAATTATTCTTTGTTTTACCTATTTATTCAATTAAATTACGTTTTATAATTATACTTACAACTAATTTGCAAATGAAGCAAATAAAAAAATTATGATTGTAACATAAGTAAAACATTTTTTTTTAAATTATGAAATTTAGTTACGAAAACTTGAAAGCAAGATAAACTGCTGGCTTGGAAATAATGCAAATTAAGAATGAGTGTAAAGAAATGGTAATAAAAAAAACAAGAAATTGTATTACCACTGCAATAGTAATTTTCAAAATAATGACCCAGAAAAAGTACTTATTAAAATATTCTTTTCGCTGCTAGTTAGAAAGCTTAAAATTGTTTATAAAAAATAATTTTCGACCACGTATTGCTCGATTGAGAGACTTCAATGGCATTGTGGCCACTCAGTAGCGCATTTCTGAATAAATTTTCGGTAATATTTTAAAAACTAAATTTGAATATCGTGAGTATAATGTATATATAATTTTCAGAACTAAGTTCGAGAATCAAAAAAACAAATATATGTAAAAACCTTATACTTTTTTGTAATTACCAAACAAAAAAAAAACGAAGAAATACTCTTTCATTATAAGTTCTATCGTGGTCTGTTCTACAAATGTATATGTGTGGTATATACTTTTTAATTCACATTTATTGCTTTGTTATTCTTTGCTCACTCACCTGCCACAGCAAATAGCAATCCACATCAACATACATGCAAACAAAGAAATTTATGTATATAAATAAATGTCTAAAAGTTGCCATTTCAACTGAAGAGAGGTTGTAAAATAAAATAAAAATAAACAATATTTTAAAGAACAGCGCTGTTACATTTAAACACAACAAAAATGCTACAAAGAGTAAATTGTAAAAATATTTATATAATTTGTTGCTGCTTGAAGCAATCACGTGGAAAAAACTTGCAAAACAAACAAATTGAATAGATACCTACATGCATGCACTCTTCTATTCAAAAAGACTGTCGTTTATGTTCCCACTGCTTTGATTTCCCAGCTAATCTAACCTCTAAAATTTCAGTTTAATGTTCCATTCTCAAATCCTGCTTATGACTCCAATTGCCGGTCAACTTTAAGTAATGTACTTTCCCCCCTTACCTAATAAAATCCACAGCTCGACTTGTTATAACATTACTATGTTAAATTTCATAAAAAAATTTACTAACTTAATATTAGAGATAAGTATATAAATTTATGTGCATTGCTTATAATTGCTTTTAACCATTATTATTTTGTAATTTGTTACGATAAACGCATAAAGACATTATTTGTTTTGTTACATAATTTTTTATATAGCGCAAAAATATATTATTAATGAATTTATATAAAAATGAATGATTATAAAATTTATTGCAATTGATCAATTGTTATTATTGCTGATAATATTTTTATGTCTGCCACGCTACAGTCCTTAGTTTAATTATTATTATTATTGAATTGATTATTAATTTAAATATGAAAAAAACTATTACAAAAAATTAATAAATATGCGAAGTGTATATAAATGTTAATTTTTACATTTATATATATTTACTGCAATATATATGAGCATAAAAAGAGTTTCATTTCATTTTTTGATTATCAATATTTTTTTTATATTTTATATGAATTTAATTTTTTTGTTTATATGTTTAGGCATAAATATTTTTTTAAAATTTTTTTACCAAAATTTCTTGGATTGAAACACATACAAATATTTCTTTAAATACATACATATTTACAATTATGGTTTTATTTTTTAATAATATAAAACAATATTAGAGAAAAGCTATATTTTTTATTTTTATATTATTATTAATAAATAGAAATTTAAAATAAACTTAGTTATTCCAAATAAAAATCTTATAAAATATATAAAAGTTTGATTTGAAATTCATTTTTGTTTTAGTCCAATAAAATATTGTGTTAGCGTATATACTTATTTTATTATATTTGATAATCCTAAAGCAAATTATTAAAAGAATTGGTTTTTAATTTTTTTTACATTTGTTTTATAAATTATTTATATTTGTTCTATTTTAGTTGAATATTAGGTTTAAATTTCAGCTGCAAATATTATCTATTGATTTCATTTCGTAATTTTGTAGAAAAATAAAATATGTTTTTATTATTGACATTTATTTATTTTAGCAAATTTTTCTAGCTACCTCATGATTCAATTATAGTAAAAGAGTGTGTCGATAGCCCTAAAATAACAAATTGTGAAAAGCAATGGGATCCATAATGTCAAAATCAGTCGTTTTGCTTTGTATTGTTTTGAATTTATGATTCAAAATTAAATTTTTCAAAGATTTCAACCAATAAAAATGCCTTGTTTGAGTGATAACTGAATATAAATAGATTGTTAATCACAGAAAATCATTAAAATGTTGACAGAAAAATCATGAGAAACACAAAAAACAGTTTATTTGACATTATGGATTAAAATACTTTTTCGTAGGAGGAAGCACGCGCCGTATCGACACAACCTTATATAATTGAATCATGAGCTAACTTTATGAAAGAAATGACACCAGTCAAGTGTAAGGTTAAACAAAATTCCATTAAGCTCCACTATAAAACTAAGTCAACAATTTCAAAAACGTCAAATATAGCCTATTTTAAAACAAGAATTTCAAAGTTCGAAAATCTTTTAGCTATGAAGAAATGCATTTAAAACACTGTAACTTAGTATTTTATTTTCTAAAGTTGATAGTAAAAAAGTATGCAAAGAGTTAAGAAAGTTTGGTTCCTTTTTTCAACGTAAAAAATTTGTTACGCAAATTCCACTATTTGGCTAACTTTGTTTTCAATTAGTATATGGCATTTAATGTTAAGTAATGAATACGAATTTTATGTTTTTTATTAAAAATATTGTTTGTTAATAAAATTTTAAATTAATTTTTTCTTTATTTAATGGATTTTCAAAAAAAATTTCCACATTTTGTAACTTATTTAAATACTACAACAACAAAAGCTACAACTTATCAACAACCGTCAATATATAAAAAACGACCGTCTAAAATTTACTAGATTTGTCAATAATAGCATTTTGTGTCAATTGATTTACTTTATTACACTAACAATCGATTTTACAATGCCATCCATATCTATTTAAGAATGCGTATTAATTGCAATTTATACTGTCCATTAGTTGTCGTCCATTTTTTGGCAACATTCCCCGAAAACGTCTAAAGCGAATATTCGTTCAACGACTAAGAGCAAAAGAAAAAGTAAAATATAATTATAAGAAAGAGAAGAGAATTCTTTCAGTTAAATTGAAATATCGCGCAAATGTTTTTAGGTGACTAAGTACTGAACTAAGAAACACATTTTTTCTTTAGAAAAGACACTGCAACGAGTTTCAAAATTACTTTTCAATCAAAACTTTGTTTAATATTGTAATTAAGAAAAAAATTAATATTAAAACAAATTATTTTAAACGCGTTTTTAGTTTCTTCTACCTATTAAATATTAAAATTCTCAAATGTTTTTCCAAAATATTTTGTTGAAATTTACCGTTATGTAGTTACAAATATAGATGTAAACTTAATATGCTGCATAACGAAAATGTAATCGATCATCAAAATAATACCAGAAAATAAAAAACAAATTCTAATAGCACTAGTAATAGAGGTTAAAATGAATAAATAAAAAAGAAAAGAAACAACAAAAACAAATATTCTTAAGTTACAAACACCCCCTCAAATTAAATGCCTTTAACATGTATTAAAATGAAATTCACCTAAATCTAAGTCCAATAAAATATATTTAAAATAAAAGTAACTTAAATAAATATGTATGTATGTACATACATAGGAAAACAGACCTAAAGCAAAAACTAATTAATAAAACAGAAATGAGTTTTATTTATTTAGGAATTATATTCATATTGAAAAATATAAGCGAAACAATTTGGGTTAACTGTTTATGTAACAGTTATGGTAAGTGTTTGTTTAAGGAAAATTTTATCAATTCGGAAAATATTACTAATTTAAGTATTAATTTTTTAAATTTATTACTTTTATATTTAACAGCAAAAATATAATTAGTCTTAATTTATAAGTATTATTTAAGTACTTCAGATTATTTATTATAACTAAACATTTTTTTTATGAACGTAATTTTTTTTTTGTAACACTTATTCAAATTTCAATTTAAAATTTTTAAAATCTTTTACTACTTTGCTACAGTTTCTGGTTTTTTTTTACCATTTTTATGTTGAATATTTTCTTTAATTTTTAAATTTTAATTATTTAATTTTTTAAATTTTTATGTGAAATATAGTATTATTCTACGCAAATCATTCGCTACAATCATGTTATAAATCCGACAATTTTAATAATTTGTTTATTTTTTTTACGAAATTTTTAAATATATATTTTATTTTTTTATAATCTATATTTAAAATATTGCAATATAAAAAAAGTTAACAAAATATAAAAAATGTATTCGAAATTCAAGAAGTTCTTCGAAATAGTTTTAATCAGAATTTTCCAACACCCTTTGCTAGCGCTCTACTAAATTTTGCCTTACTAACACAAGCATTACTAACATAAGCAACGTTAGGTGGCAGCGCTGTCGTCACTTCTTCAATCGTCTTCAATATGAGTGCCAAAATATTGCTGTCAAATTCCATACGGTTGTGGAATTGTGCACGCATAAAAGGTGCCGGTCAAATTCCATACGGTTGTGAAATTGGTCGCCTAGTTCGTCCGGCGATAAATTTATTAAAAAGCACGCAAAGTATTAGGACTTTTGCAGCAACTCAGGCAGTGAAAATGGCCGATTCAACAGGTTTGTCCAATGAGGAGGCAGCGGCATTATGCAAGCCAGCAGATGCAGCGACCAAGGTATAGTGAATAATGGAAATATATATATATATGTATGTTAGGTACATCATATTGTGCGCGGTAGATAAGTATATGTGTAGAACTATATAGGTGCATAATTTAATAAATATATATTCTATTTATAAATATTGTATGTGTGAATAATATCAAGTATTTAATGTTCAGATTACTCTACACAGGGATAGTTTTTAATTCTCTTGTGCAAATTTTTTAGGACTTCCTCTTTCAACAAACAATGTACCGCATCAAAGATCCACGCAAATCGCTGCCCTTTTACACAGGTGTGCTTGGCATGTCATTGCTAGTGAAATTGGATTTCCCCGATGCTAAATTTTCCCTCTACTTTATGGGGTACGTATACAAAAAGGTTACGATATTTAATTATTTTATCTGCACTCGATTTGGAGTGCTTCTGGTAAGATAAATACGAATATATTTCAATATACGACGATATATATTTTTTTTTAAATAATTTCGTTATTTTTTATACTGATGTACATACATATATATGTATATATTTGCAGCTATGAAAATCCTGACGACGTGCCAAAAGATCCGAGGGAGCGTAGACGTTGGGCAATGAGCCGCAAGGCAACTGTGGAGTTGACACAGTTAGTTGAACTGTTTTTTGCTTATATTTATATATATGGATGCATATGTGTACAAGTGTGTTAATATAAGGAGTCAATATATATAAAATTTTACTGTTTTTTTCCAGCAATTGGGGCACCGAGAATGAAGATAAACCGGTATATCACAATGGCAACTCTGATCCTCGTGGCTTTGGACATATTGGTATATTGGTGCCTGATGTCTATGCTGCCTGCAAGCGGTGAGTGTGAAAAAATCAAATTAATTATTTATGATGATATACTCGTGTGTAGCTTAATAGTGTTTTTACAAAAGCTATAACTTAAATTAAAAATTGATCAAAGAAATAAATATGTATATAATACGTATATTAATATTTTCTAAGGCTTTAGCTCTGTTTATATAGAAATTTGGAAGGAATTTAAAATAATTATTTCTCTATTCTATAATTTCAGTTTTGAAGAACAAGGCGTTGAATTTGTAAAGAAACCTGATGACGGCCGTATGAAGGGTTTGGCCTTTATCAAGGATCCCGATGGTTATTGGATTGAGATTTTTAATGCAAACACTGTTTAATAATATTTACAAATAAATTGCATAATAACATTTATTTATTTGAATTAATACAATTATAATATTGAAAGTAATATATCTATATTTGTATGTATATATGTAAATAAATACATTTATTTTCAAATGTCATTAAAACTGGTTAATTTTAATGTTTTTTTTTAAATAGTTTCCAGAAAATATTTTGTTCTCAAATTTAGAAGAAAATGTGAAGAAAAAGTTTACAGTTTTTTTAAAGTTTACAAATATTTTTTTAAATTGCCATTTATTTGAATGATTTTAAATCCAGTAAAAATTTTAATAATTTTATTTAAATAAGTTGTATTTTATTCTTATAAAAAAGCAGTTTGACAACACTCAGTTTTCAGTGCCGACCAAATCAATGCAAAGCGAAGGTATTTAAGTAGCAAATTCCACTTTTCTCATTAATTGTTGCAATGTTTTGAAGTTTAAATTTTTCGACAAAAATCTAGAATAAAACAAGAAAAACATTAACTTCGGGTCAACCGAAGCTATAATACCCTTAACAGGTGCATTATCATGGCCTAAAATTGTATAAAAAGGTCTTTATTCTGATTTTGATCGGTCAGTTTGGATGCCAGCTATAAGCTATAGCGATCTGAGCTAAAGTATAAATTCGGAAATTGTAGCTATGCCAAATTTCATGAAGATACCTAGACAAATGAAAGAGTTTTCCATCCAAAGGCTTAAGGTTTATAAGTCAGTTGTGAGGCACCTATATTCTAAAGTAATCCGATCCCCGATTGTAGCGATTGAATTTGGCTGATAATCTATACCAAATTTCATGAACATACCTCGTCAAATGAAAAAGTTTTCCGTACAAGAATTTTCTATAGTCGTTGATTGATTGATTTGAATTACGTGCAATTTATTCGGAGATTGTAGCGATATCTTGGATAATAAACTACGTCGAATTTCATGAAGATACAAGCCCTTGATTCCGGCTTTATAGGGTCGCAGACGTTTCCTTATGTGTGTTACAAACATTGTGGCAAACTTAATACATCCTGTTTCGAGTATAATAAGAAATATCAGGAATATAACTTAACTATGGATGGATCGTGTCTTTAGGAAGTTGTGTCTAAATATTCCAATTAATGTTTTACGGAAGTTTTTAGCATTTGAACATACATATATTCGGTGAGTTTTATTTTTTTTATTAGAAAAAAAAAGTGTTTCATTGATTTGATGTGTAAAAGAATCGTGGTTCATGGAGCACTGCAATTATTGTAAAGATTTTCAATAAAAAAATTTTGAAAAAAAATGTGAAAAACTTAATTTTGTCTTGAAAAATGTATGAAATATTTAAAAATATTAAAATATGTACAAAATATATAATATTAATTAAAATCACTACAAATATAGTAGCACATCAATGCAGAAGGACACAATTTATAAAACTACATTTTCAAATGAGTAAAAGTTATTATTTATTAATTATAACACAATTGCGTAGTCGAAAGTGAGTGGAAAATTTGCCAACAATTATAGGCTAACAACATGGTATTAACAAATTTGTAAGGTTCCAACAGAGTGGTTAATATACGTTGTTGAAAACGTAATGACAAATGATTAAGCCGTCAGCAGCAACCAAGCCCCCTTATTGCACATTGTCTGTGTGTTACGACTAATATTGAGCGTCATTGTATTCATAAAAATTACTGAATGAAAGCCAGCTCTCCTACAAAAAACTATAAAACACTATTTACTCACGTTTGTATGTTTGTACAGTGCAAGTGGGCCCCCATTCATGCTGCTGTTGCAGTTTGGCTGAGTGTGAGCTTAAGAGAGCGTTTAAGATAATAATCTACAATTTATTTGCGACAAATTTTCCATTTTTCTTGTTATACTCGCATGTGCTATGTATGTTTTAACCGTTTAACCTGCCACGACCCCTATTATTCACGCTGACCCATGGGTGCTATCAGGTACACAGCGCACAACAAATACTCGCATGTAAAAATCTGTATATATGTATGTATGTATACATGTGTGTGTTCATATCATGGAACGCCTTTAACCATCGCCAAGCCTTACGGTGTGGGCATTTTTGTTTACCTCAATAATAAATCGCTTGTTTGCGCCTAAATATGTGCCACATTAGCGGTGTCGAAGTCGAAAATGGTGTTTACCAGCTATTGTTTGCATACCGTTACAATTTTTGTCATTTATCAAAATTATGTACAACAAAATTTGAACTTGGCCAAATTTAAAATTTCACGCAGAACTAAATTGTTTGAAAAGCCCCTGCCAGTTAACGAGGTTAGGTCGCCGCAGGCGGTGGTCCAAAATAGGCATTTAAATTAGAAAAGAATACATGCTAAAAGTGTATTATATTAGGTTGCCCTTGTAAATGTCTAATACGGCTGGAGATTAAAGTTTTAAAGTCAAAAATTGAAGGAAGTCACTTAATATGGAAATCAATGAGTCATCTTTGAGCGTTTTTTACCTCAGCAAATTGTTGGCTCTGGCACCTATTTCTATACAGCAAAATGCAAAAGGTGTAATCGAGATAAAACGTAGTATGACATTATCTATATACGCTATCGCTTTGGGTCTAACAATGGGTCTGTATTAGCAACGAAAAATAAATTAAAACAACAATTAAAAATGTATACAAAAAATGAAAACAGTTTATTCCAAAAAAATGCACAATTTGGTGAAATAGCAAATATAATTTTACTAATACTGTTATATCAACTGTCATGTGTTTTGTAGTGATACTTTGCTACGAGGGTTTATTATACGATGCGAATTCTAAAGTTCCTTTGCGGTGAGTACGTGGGGAAATGATGAAATTTGTTTCAAAAATCGATAGTGTTTACTAAGAAAGTCACAAAACTATAGACAGTTACAGAAAAAATCGTACACATTTAGAATATAAATATACTTTTAGGGACAAAATACGGAAACAAAAACCCAAGGAAAAAAAATGATTCTAGCCGCTAAAATAAAATCAACCCACAAAAGGTTATTGTTTAAAATTTGGTTCTGGGTTTTTATGCTTTTCTCCATATGAGTTGGAGATTCATTGAAAGATAAAAAATCAATAAAATAAAATTTGTCTAGTAACTAAATTAGTGCTTGGAAATAGCAAAGACTTTACAATAGCTAAAAGTGAATTTTTTTTGTTTTTCAAAAACTGTTAAGTCTAAGATATTAAGATTTTAAGAGGTCATCCACCTTCGTGGTTTGAAAAACATCGATTGTTTTTTTCATATTTCTAATGTAGACCTAACTAGAAACATGCTTACAAAGGATTTGATCGAAAGCATGTTGGTTTGCAAAATATCGAGCCGCCCTCGCGGTGACTATTCATGCCACTCAACTGGCTTTAAACGCGTTTCCCCAAAGTAGTCGTGACAAATTTATAAAATATCAAAAGATTTACGGAATCTGTGAATTCTTACAGCTTGACAAAAAATCTCGCTATTTCAAGACACGAACATTGTTTTTATTTCACTTTTTACAGTCTCTTTTAGGTTGAAAATTAGGTCAAAAAATTTTATACTGCTGTCATTGTGTCAAATTTTCAAATATTCAAAAACCTTGTTTTAGTCATAACTGTGGTTTGAAAAATTAAGTAAAACAATTTTGTTTAGTTATAAAATACTAAAATATATTGCCAAGAAATCGACTACGAAGCGCCTCTCAAGCAATATATCAACATAATAAAAAAATTTTGACAGTTGGATTCTGCACTCGCACTTTTTTGTCATTTTAAAATTCCCGTTACTTTTTGAACACACCTCATATGTTAGTATTTCTAGATTTTTATTCGATTCTCTAAAGAAATTCGTTTAAATAAACTAACTGAATATATATAAAATTTATTTTAGATTCAGAAATACTTATTTGGAGGTTAGTAGTAGGAGGAATTAATTGCCTTTATTTTCCAAATCGAATCGAATGGAAATACACCGAAGGTCTAACTTCTAAAATGCATTTCGATGTCGAAAAAATCCATTATGCTTACGATGCCTCTATATTTACAAATATAATGTAGAACTGCCTTAGTAATATTTTACTTTAAACCAGAGTTTTTTTACACTCTCGCAACCTGTTGCTACAGAGTATAATAGTTTTGTTCACCTAACGGTTGTTTGTATAACCTAAAACTAATCGAGTTAGATATAGAGTTATATATAATATATATAAATGATCAGGATGAAGAGGCGAGTTGAAATCCGGGTGACTGTCTGTCATATAACTAAGCTCCGCAATAAGATACAAGACTCTTTTTTGGTACACAAGATCACATTAAAGAGGGGCATCTGCAGTTAAATTTTTTTTTAAAAGTGGGCTTGGTCCTGCCCCTAATAAGTTTAGTGTGCATATCTCCTAAACCGCTAAAGCTATAATAACCAACCACTCCCCACATAACGGTACTGTTAAAAACTACTCAAAGCGGGATAAATCAAGCACTAAACACGCCAGAGACATTAAATTTTATCTCTGGAATGGTATGACATGACCTTATAGGAACCGCGTTCCAAATTAGTCAGTGGGCGTGGCACCGCCCACTTTTAGGTGAAAACCCATATCTTGGGATCTGCTTAATCGATTTCTCTTTCTTTTCTTTTCCTACCTATTTCTTTTTTTTGTCTTTTATAGTTCTGTTTCACAATTATTTAATGCAACTTATCTTAATACACAAGTTGATTTTTTAGAATGAATTCTTCTACCTCGAGAGTTGTTACTGCGATGGACGTTACTGTTGTGGTGCTGACCAGTGTTGCTGGTATTGGATGTGGCATATTTAGTGTTACGCCTTCACGAGAGTTAAATTTGCGTTTAAGAAAGGTAAAGCAGAGAATGTTTTTATTTTAATGGTAAAATTATACAGAATTATATTACATATATTTTTGCGTAAATTATTGAAATAACGGCATTAAAAATTAATTCAAAAATATCATTATCGGTTGTTAAAGAGTAATTCTCTTATTTTTAAAAATTTCTACGCAATATTATTAAGTGAATTTTATGAACAGAAATTTTTTTTAGATTCAAAAGTTTCTTAGTATATGACGTTCTCTTAAAGCTCATATTCATCGCCAATTAATATTGATTATATGATTCAGATTTTCTTGTATAAAAAATTAATGGCCACAACTTGG